GTCAACAACACACCTGGCTCGATAAAACATCAGTCGATCAATAACTGGACAATCTTAGTTAATCTATCGATATCGATTTCACACCTGGCTCGATCAAACACCAGTAGTTCAATTACTGGACAATCTGGTTTAGTCTATCGAGGTCGATTACACACTTGGCTCGATAAAACATCGGTGATCAATTACGGGACAATTTGCTTTAGTCTATCAAGCCCGATTACACGCCTGGCTCGATGAAACTTAAGTGGATGAATTACTGGAGAATATGGTTTAGTCTTTCGAGGGCGATTACACACCTAGCTCGATAAAACATCAGTCGATCAATAACTGGACAATCGGATTTCGTCTTTCGAGGTCGATAACACACCTGGCTTGATAAAATATCAGTCGATCAATTACTGGAGTCTGGTTTAGTCTGAATATTTCCCCCTGACCTGCAACAGGCACATAATCATCGGACTTTAAAAACGCATTAATCAAGTCATAGAAAACCCCACGTAAGGCGAAATTTTGCAACTACTTTTACTTACTCCACATATCTAGGTTAACTTATTTCTAGTTCTGTTGACCCTATTCTAACATGTTTTAATCATTAAAACAGAAATGCATATTGTTTTTAAACACAAATTTCAACAAAGGTTTTCGAGAAGTCGCGATTTAAATTCAGTTTAAAAAAACTTACTTTTTATGGCACTTCTTATATGTATTCTATACATCAAGGAGTTCAATTATAGTAATTCTATAAAAATTCTTGATACATTTAAATAGTATTCACATATCTTTAATTGGTTGTAGTGTTGCAACAATAAATGCAACATATATCATTTTTTGCTCTTCAAATATACTTCCTCTTTTTTTTAAATATATATATACATAATTTCATGAAACTCCATATACCACCCTGTCTTAACTGACTAATATCGGCATAAGTTATAACAGACGTATGAAACACAGTTAATGAAAATACAAAAGTAGACAATCATAAAAAATGCTCGTAATTAATTGAATAAGTTCAAAATAGTTTACCTGTTGATACATAAATCAGTACGTCCTCTAACCCCCTGTTATGGACATATATTCATTTTTGAAAAATATTTTAAAATATTTTCTAACTGTAGTTTCCTTAATCGATTCTCAACTCAACCCGCTATCACGAACCGAAACGCGTTCCCGGAAAAAGTTAAAACTTGTGTATGCTCAGTTCAGTTCAATTTGAAATACATACAGTAAAGGCCAGGATATCAAATGTCTAGTTTAGCAACCTATGATTTTTATAACGGAGTGTCTATTGTTCCGGCTAGCCGGAAGAATAGCTAAAAATCTCTATTTTTCCGGCCATCCGTTTGCGGATGCGCAAATGTTCAATATCGAAAGTGTCCCGGATGATGTGTCGGATTGCAAACGCGCGTATGCAATGGACGTATTGAGAATTGGAGATCGTGATTTATATTTAAAGATGTCTTAAAGAAAATTATAGAGAATTTGACTGCTTTAAAACAAATTTCTATAGGACAGACTCCAGAACAATAGCGTGTGCACGTAAAATGAGAGGAATAAAGCGTGAAATCAAACTGAAATTGCTGATTTACCCCATTACCTTTACCTGTAATTCAATGGAGGCAAAACGCATAACAACAATTCACAGGAAAACGACTAAATCAAATATACTTGTATGCATTATTTCTAAGTTCTACTACAACGGAGATCTATGAACATGCACTTATATGCCTGGACTGGGAATATAGTATACCAGGACTGGGGTAAACCCCCCTTTTTTATTCTGATTTATTTATGATCAATTATTTTCTCAATAAAAAAATATCATGTTTTTGCTATCGTAAACACAATCTTACATTGGGGGCAGTTTACATGTGCCAACCTTTTTCTCTTATTTTCTATGTGTTAAAAATCATCGAACATTTGGAATAAAAAAATCGTGCAAATCATTTGACGATTTCATTGGAACCAAACTTCAAGGAAACGATAAATTCAGGATCTTCTTTAAGAATCAAAGATGTCAATTGAAGCCATAAATCAGTGGTCCGACTCCTAACCTTTCAGGAAATTCATAGGTAGAAAAAAAGGAGAGGCATTTTTGCATTTTTGCCCCCTCCCCCCCCCCCCCACCACCACCACCACCACCACCACCTTCCCCATTCCCTTAGACTAAAAAAAATCTGAATGTGCTGCATACTATGAAGTATTTTATTTGCATTTTGATTTGTTTTGGTGAATGAATGGAAACTTTTTTGCACCATTTTTTGTCAAAATTATTAGGGACTTTGATTCAAAAGTGTATTTGCTGCATATCAATCGATGTTGATATTCTTCTTTTTATCTTATTTGACAAGCTGTTTATAATTGCGGGGAATCAGCGTGTTCCAAAGAACAGCCAGAATAAAAATGAATCAAAGTTGGTACTTGGAGAGTTTATTCCCATAATAATTCGATTTTAATTTAATTTTATTCATTATTATTATTTTCCAGAACGTTTTATCTTGAGTTTATTATCAGTAACGTCCGCTCGGAGAACGTGCAAAAAATGAATAGTCCAATTCTCAGTGTTTGCATGTGAGGAAATTTGTTGCCACTATATTCTCCATTGGATAGTAACAATAACCATAAAACCAAAATCATATTCATTATTCATTGTTATGTATTGCCGGAATCATAGCATAATAGCAAAGAAACGCTATTCTTCCGGGTGGCCAGAAGAATAGACATTTTTTACTATTTTTCCGGCTAGCCGGAAGAATAGCCACTGCCTTTTTATCATGATCTATTCTGTCAAAATATTGAAATGCATCAGAAAATTGTAATCTTAGGAAATTGAATATATCAATATTAAATTTGGTTGCCTCAGAGTGACAAATCTTGCTCTTTGTTTTGACCAGATTTAGTTTTCCATAATCTGAGTATACCACCCTCCCCTCCCCAACCTTCCGAAAAAAGCAAAAACAAAACAAAAAAACCAACAACACTCATACACGGTACGAGAAAGTTTGCTTGCTTTTTCGGATATCGGTTGGCATCAAACTCATTCAAAGAGGGTATGAAATGGTTAAAATTAACAGTGAGAAAAGCTGCAAAACACTTTGACAAGAATATCAAATCAAAACAATTGTTTGATCTCATAGGTTCCTAGTTATTATATTGGAGTTATATGGGCAACTTGAGGGTAATTTGCATCACCCAGTACCATTCTTATATCTTTGATCTAAATTATTGGATCTAAATTGGAGTATTCCTGCTTCTAAAGAAAAAAAAAAGATATGACAGATGAAAAAATTATCGTTACAAAAAAAATGGAAAAGCAAGTCAAATTTGAAAACCTACAAGCCAGCAAGGAAGAAAACACTACACAAAAAAAAAAACTCCCATAATAAACTAACCATGTACACAGTTTGACGGCAATTATAAACATCAAAATAATTCGTGTTCAAATTTTTTATCTAGCAAACTACAAATCGGTTTGTGATGTTTTTATTTAAAACTAAATAATGAATTAGGACATTTATATGATTTTACTTTTGACATATTTTTTGCAATATTTTTTACTTTTTGTGTTGCAGACCATCAAAACCTACAGGTCATCTAGCGGAAGCAAAAACAACTTTGCCCTAATTTGTTCTTGTGTCTTATATTATTATCAAAATTTGCAAAGCGACTTCGTGCTCAATTTTTGTATCTATCAAACTACAAATCGGTTAATAAAGTTTAAAAATAATATTTAACAAACAAATTTCCTTAGCTTCCTCATACAAAAAATAAGGAAATTTTGTATCATTGCAAATTCAATTAGAATATGTTGAAAATTCTGGAAAGTTAACAGCAGAAACTGAGACCATTGATGCATCTTTTTATTAATAGAATACAAATAGAATACATGTTTAGGTTTGGTATTAATCAAAGAAAGATAACTATACTTAATCCAATCACATGTAGTAAAATTATTATCCAGCTATGTTATAGCAAAGGCCTGTATGAATGTGAACTGTGGAACAACCTGACTAAACACGAACTTCTTTTACTTGAACGAAACGCATCGGTATATTTGCAAATACTATAGGTACTTGGGGACAGGACCATTTTTTTTAGCCCTCCCCCTTTTTTCCAAATCTGTTATGTTTTTTTATTTTTTTTCTATTAATTTCAATTATTATCGCGTTTTTCTGTACTTTATGAACTCAAATATACTAGTAATAACTTGTATTTGCTATTTACTATCAATTCCAAGTTTCTATCCACAGCGGTCACTGATATATTATGTAAAGCATATATGTACTTGGGGACAGGACAATTTTTTTAGCCCTCCCCCCTTTTTTCCAAATCCGTTATTTTTTTTCTTCTATTAATTTCAATTATTATCGCGTTTTTCTGCACTATATGAACTCAAATATACTAGAAATAACTTGTATTTGCTATTTACTATCAATTCCATATATTATATAGAGATATAATAAATCAGTGACCGCTGTGGATAGAAACTTGGATAACAGATTTTGGAGGAAAAAAAAGGGGCGGCTTCATGGCTAATAAATTGTCCTGTCCCCAAGTACCTATGGAAAAATCAGATGCAGGCAGTTTCACGTACTCATGTGTAAAGTTTATCTATAGGTTATGTAAGGAATATGACAGTTAATTTGATAGTTATTACAACTAAAATATTTAAACAGACATTTATTGAATTATCTGAACATTTATATATTTAATCTATTAATTCAATTATCTATTTAATTACTTATCAAGTTTTAAAACTATTTATTTATTTCTTCCTTTATTTAGTTCAATTCTTTATTTATATTCTCATTATTAACACGGTAGCTTTGTATTATACTATATTTTGTACTTATATTCATGTATATTCATACTCTCCTAAATGATGTTAATAAATATATATATTAATAGAATTGTATAGTACTTAGGTTTGGTATTAATCAAAGAAAGATAACTCTAGTAGAAAAAGGGAATTTCCGATTTATGTTTGCTGACGTTTACCGGAAGTAGTCATTCTATTTTTTTACTGAAAATGGCAGACAGCGTGAGTGAAGCACCGGTTGTAAACATTACTGGAAATGACACAGCTGCTAATGCTACAGCAAAAATTCCGGCAACCCCGGAAGGAATGGCGGTTGCATATGGAAGTTTACTGTTAATGGCAGTATTCCCGATTTTTGTAGGAGCTTTCCGCTCAGTGAAATATCACAAGGAACAGAAGGTAGATCGACATATGTTGTGTGTTTTTACTCTTGTCTGGCATGTTTTTTTCATAATTCTTTCATCAAGACAGAATTATTTGTAATGGGATGAAAAAAATATTGCAGTCTGACTTCAAAAAGTCTGCTAAAAATAACTGGCAATTTTATGTAGCCTATTACTATTAGGCAAGTAAGACTTGGTGACATATGGACAATTATCCAGTCCCAATATTTGTTCGAAATAAATGAACTATAATTATCAACATAAGAACTCTAACAGAAGTGCAAATCTTAAGACTTGCTCTAGGATTTCGACAGTTTAATATCTAGATATTTCTCAGCTTATTGTTTAGTGCATGGAGTAATAAGAGGCTGAGCGTCTTGTATCAGTGTCTCCAATTGACTGAATCCCACTGGAACATACTTAAATCCCCATACACCTTATCGCTATTTAGTCCAATCCGGAAAAAACAGTCATTTAGACAACTTCCTGTTTGGGTCAACAGGCCGCAAACAAAGGTCACCAGTAACGAGCTGAGGGAGGGAAAAATTTAGACAGCGATCAATAGGAAACTTTGATAGATTATGATCCACTTTTTCCAAACTCAAATTATAGTCAAAAAAATATTGTGTTTGAAGTATTTACGATGTTTTGAACAGGTCTCATTAAAAAGTATCATGCATGGTGCATTGTTTAAACAGGGTCCCAGATAGCTTCAACTGGATGAAAAAGTTGTGTAATTTTAGAACTTATCCGGAATGGAATTAATAGCGATTAGGTGTATTGTTTGTAACTGAAGTGATAAATATAATTAAGAGTCACATGTCTGTGTCATAGTGTTGCTTTTTACTAATAAAACTCGAATTTTTGTTATTTAACTATTTATATTTGAATATTTTTATGCATACATGTACGTGATTAAAAAATATTCTTCAACCATAAAAGCTGTTCTTCAATCATACAAAACTGTAAATGTATATCTGAAGAAGAGGAAATTAAAAAAAAGACATTTGACTTTTAGACAAGATTTTTCTGTGTGCACTTCCTTATGTGACAATATGGCAGCCCTACATCATGTACATGTATGTATTTAAAAGGTTTATGTACATTTTGTAGAGAGTTGATCTTAATTATTTCCATTGAAAGTACTGTTGCATGAAAGTTTACTGGGAAAATTAGAAAAATAAATTAGAAAATTGAAATTGATCTTCAATGCTCTAACAGTACTTTCAGTGCAATGGTACATATATATATATATTATAAGTGCCTATAAATAGCAACACATAACATACAAATCTATTTGAGTGTGGTTTAATCAGTACACAGATTAATACAATTACACAAATAAAATAATAATTTGTCTAACAATGTAATTTTAACACACTATTTAGTATGTAAATATTAAAATGATGAAAGATATTTACAATGCGATAAAAAATGAATGCAATATTTTGCTTGACAAACTAGATTCCAGAAGTTTTTTTATCGCATTGTAAATACTTTTTAACATTTTAATATTTAAATACTAAATAGTGTGTTAAAATTACATTGTTATGCAATTTATATATATATTAATTATACACATATATAGCTATAACTTAAGGTTTTATATGTGTACAAAAAAGTTTGATAGGGGATGTTGTGTTTTATCTGTTCATAATTCATATATACCTTAGGTACATGTATTCCTTGGAAGTTCTTTTTGTCAATAGTAGTCGTGCTTGGCTTTGTCAATGTCGCTAATAATCATTAAATTCATCTGATATTGACTATTTTTCAATCTTTGTTATGTTTATGTTTTAGGAATCTGGTGAAAAACCTGAAACAATGACTGGTAAAGATGCTGCAATGTTTCCAATTATTGCCAGTTGTACATTGTTTGGCATTTATTTAGTATTCCAGGTAAGTTCATTTCTGATGGTTAATTTTTTATATTGCATCTTATATTCTAGTAATAGTAAGTGTTCCAGATAATAAAATAAAGGTTTTAAGTGTAGATGTCACAATGTTTCTGGTTGTACATGTATATCTTGTGGCACTTTTTAAATATACATCTATGTATAGGGGGAAAGTCCAGGTTAAGATGCTGCCATGTATATGATAATTTCTGTTCATACCTTATTTACCAAATTGCGACAAAGTCAAACACAGTTGCTGCACAAAATCTTTTGAGCCCTTTAAGGTATCTTTCCAAATTTGGTTTTATATCGCCCCCATGGAGTGAGGAAGACCCCTATTGATATTGGGGATCAGAAGGTCAAGGTCACAACAGCTATTGTTATTCTGAGATATTGTGAAAATTTTAGTTTTCAGAAACTATCTTTTGAACTATATTTTCAAATTGCACCAAACTTGATTTGATACTGCGGCATAGAGTGATAAAGGCCCTATCGATTTTTGGCTCAGTCAAGGTCACAGCAGCCATTAATAGACTGATATTTTTGCAAATTTATGCTGGTTAATCATGGTTTCTTTTGAACCATAAAATGTATTTCTGACTTTTACAAAATTTGGTTTGATAATGCCTCATATGATAAGGAAGATGTCTATGGAATTTTGGATCCTAAGATTGAAGGTTATGGTCACAGCAGCTATTTATAGGCTGAAAATTTGGCAAAATTAGGTTTATGAATGCTCTTTTCAACCATATGTCAAACTTGTACAATACTTGGTAGAACTATCCACACTGGGTTAGGGAATTAAGACCACTATAGATTTTGGGGTATATAGGTCAATGTAATAGTGGCTATTGATACACTAAAATTTGGGCATAAATTTGGTTTCCAAATGAAAAAATTTCTTTTGAAATCGAACCTTTGTACATCTCCCCATAATAACCTTGAAATGCCTCTTTTACACTCTTACATTGAATTAAATTAAAATGTATATATATATATATACGTTGTATCCCTTAATCCCAATGCCAGCCATACAACAATGGGTTTCCCAACATTTAAATATATGGTTGATATGCATACACTTATAGCTTACTGTTCGGTGTGAGCCAAGGCTCTGTGTTGAAGACCGTACTGTGACCTATAATGGTTTACTTTTATAAATTTTGACTTGGATGGAGAGTTGTCTCATTGGCACTCATACCACATCTTCTTATATCTATACACATCTTTATTGTCACTCAACTGTTATTGTCCTAGATATAGCATGAAACCAAGATAAAAAAAATAGGTAAAAAGGGGGGTCTGAATCCAGTTGAAGTCATAATGGTTGAAGTTTTAAATTAAAAACAATTAAAGTAGACAAGATGTATGGATATAAAATTAAGATTAGAATTTTGTTTTTTTGTTGGTGAAGCAGATTATAAGAACGCTCTGTTAACGCTTTATGATTCATGTTTCAGTTTCCAACGCTGCTATTATATAGCTGCACATGTCATGCATGTACAAAACTTTTTCTTTTGCAGATATTTTCTAAGGATTACATTAACTTGTTGCTGACGTTTTATTTCTTCTTACTTGGGGTAATGGCACTAGCACATATTGGAACGTATGTATGAGTTTTATTTTTTATTTTTAGTTTGATTATAAATGTAAGCATTTTTCTATATTGTCCTCTAGTGCAACATGGAGCAGGGGACATAAAAATACTGGGCATCCATATTTCTTGTCAGATATTGCGAAATTTATTTTCAGTAATGTTGCAGACATGTTCCAAAAACACTAACAATCAACTATTTTATGGGAGGTATTTCCCTTGAAATGTAAATAATACGGGAAATTGCATTATAAGCACTCTCACACCTACATTTCTTGTAAGATGTTTATGAAATTTACATCAAAATTTTATATCAGCAATTTCTTTGACAAAAGTTTGAAATCAGTGTAGATCGACTATTTTTACATGAGTTATGTCCCTTTGACATGTAAATTCTACAGAAAATTGCATTGTAAGAAATTCACAGCTATATTTCTTGTCAGATTTATAAAATTTGTACCTAAAGCTTATGTCAGCAATGTCTCTTTATCATTTGAAGTAACTGGTGAAGAAAAAATATTCACTATCACTTCATTTCGCTATTCAATTTTCCTTCAAACTTGAAAGTTGAACTCCGGGCGTCCCCCCGTCCGGTCTTGTTAGCACTCTCACATGTACAATTCTTGCCAGATTTTTATTAAACTTATAAAATAGGTGTATATAATCAATGTTTCGAACGAGTTCGAAAATCAGTGCTGATGAACTATTTTTAAAAGAGTTATGCCCCTTGGAAACATTATTTTATGGAAAATTGCATCGTTAGCGCTCTCATGTGTACAATCTTGCCAGATTTTTATGTAACTTATACTGTAGGCTTATATCAGCAATGTCTCAAACGAGTTCGAAAATCAGTGCTGATCAATAATTTTTATAAGAGTTATGGCCCTTAGAAATATTAATAATATGGAAAATTGCATTGTTAGTGCTCTCATGTGTACATTTCTTGCCAGATTTTTATAAAACTTATATCATAGGTGTGTATCAGCACTGTCTCGGACAAGTTAAAAAAATCAATGCAGATGAACTATTTTTAAAAGAGTTATGCCACTTGGAAACATTAATTATATGGAAAATTGCATTGTTAGCGCTCTCATGTGTACAATTCTTGCCAGATTTTTATGAAACTTATATTGTAGGTTTATATCAGCAATGTCTTGGACAGGTTGAAAAATCAGTGCTGACCAATAATTTTAAGAGTTATGCCCTTAAAAATATTAATTATATGGAAATTTGCATTGTTAGCGCTCTCACATGTATAATTTTTGCCAGATTTTTTATCAAGTTCATATCAAAGGTTAATATCAGCAACATCACGGACAGTTTTGAAAATAATTAACGTTCGAATAATTTAAATAAGTTATGCCCCTTAGATATATTTAAAAAAAAATATATCAGAAATGTCTCAAGTCTTCAACTCTCTAAAATAATTTTTAAAAGTTTTAAAAAACAAAAAACCAAATTTTTTTTAGTTATTAATTTTGCACATAAAATATGTGCAATGCAGCGACATTGGAACTCTGTTCTTTTGTGGTTTTTGATCTAACATATTATAGTACATTTATATCTGGCTGATATGACCCAGATCATACTATACTGGACAATTATCATTGATTTGTTTTCTTTCAGCCCTATTATATCAAAATTCATCCCACCTTCATTTCCAAATATGGATTACCACCTGATATTTACACAAGGCAAAGAAGAGAAGAAAGAAGGTAAGAACACTTTTTTGTCATCTGTTTCTATACAACAAAGATACTATACATTGTACAATGTAAATTTAATTATAGATCTTATTGTTCAAGCCTCAACTATTCCCTAGTTATATGATGTTGAAAAGTTCCCCCTATTTTTTAATGCTGAAAGTTGTCTCCCATTTATATGACTTTGTAACAGTAGTCCCTTGTATAAGTAAAGTTCTATCTGTTATTGTTTATCCAATATAAATAAAGTGAGACACATTATGTCTACATGTTTTATTTCAAATCTACATTTACTGTAAGGGGGGAAACTACTGTAAATCAGGCACTCTTGACGGTCTTGAAAAAAATAATTCATGCACCCTTCAGGATCTATCAATCTGATTGATAGTTTTTACATGTTTGTTTTTCAGAGCTGTTAAATTACATGTTTGACAGAAAAGATTTAGTTAGTTTAGTTATTTGTGGACTAATTGGCATTTGGTATCTTGTCAAAAAGGTAAGTGAAGATAATTTTTGTCAAAATACTCAATAAATTTTTAATTTAATTTTGTCTGTACCCTTGCCATTTTCATGATGAAAAATCTTGCTGTCACAGTTATCAATGTGCAGAGCTTATGTTTTAAGTGAACAATGCATGTGAATTTTTTCCAATGCAAAATTAAATGCCTAAGTCAACAGGTCTGAGGATTGATTCAAGTCTGTCTCCAGATAATTATTATATTTAAATAGTCTGCAATGAAATGGAATAGCATGCTACAATGAAAGCTTAATTTATTTTATGTGTTTTTTTCCACCTTCAGCATTGGATTGCCAACAACCTGTTTGGATTGGCATTTGCTATAAATGGTGTAGAGCTCCTGTCACTGAACAAAGTGAGCACAGGATGCATACTGTTAGGTGGACTCTTTGTCTATGATATATTCTGGGTAAGTCAGAACAAAGTGAGCACAGGATGTATACTGTTAGGGGGACTCTCTGTCTATGATATATTCTGGGTAAGTCAGAACAAAGTGAGCACAGGATGCATACTGTTAGGGGGACTCTTTGTCTATGATATATTCTGAGTAAGTCAGAACAAAGTGAGCATAGGATGCATACTGTAAGGGGCACTCTTTGTCTACACTCTTTGTCTACACTCTTTGTCTATGATATATTCTGAGTAAGTCAGAACAAAGTGAGCACAGGATGTATACTGTTAGGGGGACTCTTTGTCTATGATATATTCTGGGTAAGTCAGAACAAAGTGAGCACAGGATGCATACTGTTAGGTGGACTCTTTGTCTATGATATATTCTGGGTAAGTCAGAACAAAGTGAGCACAGGATGTATACTGTTAGGGGGACTCTTTGTCTATGATATATTCTGAGTAAGTCAGAACAAAGTGAGCACAGGATGTATACTGTTAGGGGGACTCTTTGTCTATGATATATTCTGGGTAAGTCAGAACAAAGTGAGCACAGGATGTATACTGTTAGGTGGACTCTTTGTCTATGATATATTCTGGGTAAGTCAGAACAAAGTGAGCACAGGATGTATACTGTTAGGGGGACTCTTTGTCTATGATATATTCTGAGTAAGTCAGAACAAAGTGAGCACAGGATGCATACTGTTAGGGGGACTCTTTGTCTATGATATATTCTGGGTAAGTCAGAACAAAGTGAGCACAGGATGTATACTGTTAGGTGGACTCTTTGTCTATGATATATTCTGAGTAAGTCAGAACAAAGTGAGCACAGGATGCATACTGTTAGGGGGACTCTTTGTCTATGATATATTCTAGGTAAGTCAGAACAAAGTGAGCACAGGATGTATACTGTTAGGGGGACTCTTTTTCTATGATATATTCTGAGTAAGTCAGAACAAAGTGAGCACAGGATGCATACTGTTAGGGGGACTCTTTGTCTATGATATATTCTGGGTAAGTCAGAACAAAGTGAGCACAGGATGCATACTGTTAGGGGCACTCTTTGTCTATGATATATTCTGAGTAAGTCAGAACAAAGTGAGCACAGGATGCATACTGTTAGGGGGACTCTTTGTCTATGATATATTCTGAGTAAGTCAGAACAAAGTGAGCACAGGATGTATACTGTTAGGTGGACTCTTTGTCTATGATATATTCTGAGTAAGTCAGAACAAAGTGAGCACAGGATGCATACTGTTAGGGGGACTCTTTGTCTATGATATATTCTGGGTAAGTATATGCATTAGCACATCTCATTACCATGGAGAATATTTGGTCCTTACCCCTTAGTCATGGTCTATTGACTTTGAAACTTTTGCTTAGTTTACATGTATAAGTTTGTGATTAGATCAGTTAAAGATGAACCACTAATGTTAAGTCAATGATATTTGGTTTGCAAATGTATTGGCATTTGCAAGTTTCATTTCCATGGAGATTATATAACCCCACACCCTAATTATGGTTCAGTGACTTTGAAACTTTTACATAGTTTACAAGTTAATGTTTGTGTTTAGGTTTGTTGAAAGGAAACGACTTATGAAAAGTCAATGGTTTTTGGTTTGCAGTTGTATTAGCATTGGCACATCTCATTTCCATGGAGATTGTTTAGCCCTGTACCTTCAGTCATGGTTCATTGACTTTGAATATTTACATAACTTACATGTTAAAGTATTGCTATTTTAATTTCAACATTTGCATTATCAAAATAACAAATAGGCGAGACATATCTCTGTGTTAACAGTTTATTATTTATATTTTTTATTGCCGCCTTTGGTATTGTGTTACTCAGTTTACAGTTGCAGTTTTGAAGCTGGCACCAATTGTTTAACAGGTTGTTAAACTTGTTCAAGTTAAGGGAAAACTTGTAAAAACAACACATGATGAAAAACATACATGTATCCTAATAAAAGTGCATAATTCATTGTAGAACTTGTGAGGGCATCCCATGTGTATCACCAGGTGTATGAGTTTCACCGTTTTTTGTCCAATTTTTTTTACATATGCAAACTTTAATCTAGTACATTCATTTTTCAGGTGTTTGGCACTAATGTCATGGTGACAGTTGCTAAGTCCTTTGAAGCACCAATCAAATGTAAGTAATCATATCAAAATTCATCATTATTGTTTATATAAAAAAAAAATTTCAGTGATATATATATTGTGCCTTGTAATAAAGACTAAATTTGATAAATTATATAGACCATTATTTTTTCCTTAATATTAATGTTTTAGCTAATCTGGTCAAAAGGGCAAGTTGGAGCTAAAATTTTACCATTGGCTTTATTTGTTTGTTCTCTGTGGGGTCAACTTTAAATAAAATGATTTCCCCTCAAATCACTAGGCCAATTTGGTCCGGGTACACAGTTATCGTCCTTTGATTTTCGTTGTCCACGAATATAGTCCCTAGTGTGGACAGTGTGTTACTTGTCGATTTTTTTTATACCCCTTCCGAATTTATTTCTCCATGTTTTATGACTCAAATAGTAAGTATGGGGGTGAAATGACACTGTAAAAAAATTTGGGTCATGAATTTTAAAGTAAAGTAGTGATTTGGTCCAGCTGAAAAATGTTAAAAATTAGCACTTCGGAGGCTGTCAAAAGATTTGAAGACCCCCTCAGCATGAAATTGTCCATATTTTGAGTTAGAGCCGATGAAGTTTTCTATAATTTTGATATAATTTGTCCCAAAAGTAGTACAACACACTGTAAAAATATTATTGAGAAAGCGCAGGTGGGATTTTTTTAATTTTCATTTATTGTCTAAAAGAAATGCACTACGAAATAACTGTGTACTCGGACCTAAGAGGTGAAATCAGGAAATATAGAATCTGTACTTTGGCAACTTCCCTGAATGATTTGATGGTGTCAATTTATCAAATAGCATAAAACTAAAGGATTAAAACTTTTATTTGATAGAATTTCTGCAAAAATGACCAATTTTGGCATTTTATGGTCAAAATAAGCATTTCATAGCTTTTTCAATTTTGATGCATAAGTGGCATTCTGACTTTCTATCTGACAGGTTTTTATGTGTCAATATTTGTGTTTCTATGCTTCAATCCAGTTGTATTACTCATTTGTGAACTCTGAATCTACAGAAAAGAAGATTATCTCAGACAATATGTTCAAAATGTGTTGTATATATGGTCCTCGTCTAACGCCCTGTTTGGATCGAGTTAAATGTGAGGAGCTTGGAACATAAAAGTTGAAGTCCATTATAAAGACCTCACTAAATTTGTATAAAAAGCACTTAACAATGTCTTTTGTACCTGTTTTATGTCACATAATATCTTTCTTTTCTTCTGTAGGATAGCAAGTGGTTCAAATATAAGCCTGTTGAGACTAAAATTGCATGCATGTTTTTCACTAAAAAGTGAAAAATCTTTGTATCAGACCATACTGTTTGCAAAAAAAGTTGAATGCAAGAGTCTTTTTGTGCTCAGATTTATTGTATCATGTCACCTGAGTATAGAAATGATAGAAAAGACACAAAATTTTATTTCATATAGCTTCAATATGCATTTTTAAATGTAAATATGTGATACGGCCTAAATTGACCCTAAATTATTTTCAGTCTTACTTGGCCTAAGACCCTTTTAAACTAATGTGATATGTTATTTGTAAGTTTTCTTTCCATTTAAAGTACATTAAATACATATGTAAGGATTATTTATAACCAAAAAGCTTTACAAATTTAAAATTGCTGGAAAATATTACATCTTCATGTAAGGCCCCCCTTCATTGGAAAACCTCCATTTTTAGCCACAGGCTCATATAAATTTGACTTTTTAATAATTATGATAAGTCTGATATCTCAAATGAGTACTCTATTGCTTTTAATACATAATATATTATATATTAAGGCATTTCAAAAGTATTTTTTTGCAATATTTAAATTTTTTAAGCCCCAAATGTTGATAGTTGAAAATTTTCAATTTTAACATCTAAATTTAACACTCAAAGTTGAATATAGAATTAGTCATATTGTCTATAATATATATCCTATTGCCATGAAACTTTGTAAGCAGTCTTATAATTTAATAAGCTTTGGTCATACCAAGTTTCATTAAGATTGGTCAACTTTTTCTACCCTATTAGGTCCGGGTACACAGTTATCGTCCTTTGATTTTCGTTGTCCACGAATATAGTCCCTAGTGTGGACAGTGTGTTACTTGTCGATTTTTTTTATACCCCTTCCGAATTTATTTCTCCATGTTTTATGACTCAAATAGTAAGTATGGGGGTGAAATGACACTGTAAAAAAATTTGGGTCATGAATTTTAAAGTAAAGTAGTGATTTGGTCCAGCTGAAAAATGTTAAAAATTAGCACTTCGGAGGCTGTCAAAAGATTTGAAGACCCCCTCAGCATGAAATTGTCCATATTTTGAGTTAGAGCCGATGAAGTTTTCTATAATTTTGATATAATTTGTCCCAAAAGTAGTACAACACACTGTAAAAATATTATTGAGAAAGCGCAGGTGGGATTTTTTTAATTTTCATTTATTGTCTAAAAGAAATGCACTACGAAATAACTGTGTACTCGGACCATTTGGATAGAAACTTGACATGTATATCCTTAGGGATCAGCTTTAAGACTTTTGATGGATGCCCATATTTCACTTATTGCTAAAATTAAACTTAGGTGTAAAATCTACCAAAAAATGTATTCAAAACTTCTGAAAATATACTGTGAGGGACCATTTGCTATCAAACTTTGAGGAAATACATGTACAAAGAATAGGGAATTGCACAAAAAGTCAATTCAAATAAAGGAAACTCACTCTCTTCATCTGGTGTAGTGTCCCATGTGTTTGGGACTAAACTAAAAATACTTTAATTGTTAACAATATCAGAGGATAATTTGATGATAAACACAAAAAGAATTATAAAGTTTTTAATTTGTTTATATTTCAGTTGTATTTATTGCAACATAGATGCTAAAATGCATTTAATTTCCATTTTCAGTGGTATTCCCACAAGACTTGTTACAGAAAGGCTTAGAAGCCAATAATTTTGCCATGTTAGGACTGGGAGATATAGTTATCCCAGGGATATTTATAGCTTTACTATTGAGATTTGATATTAGGTAAGTAAAGGGATATCCACCTATTTATAGCATAATAGATTTTATGTGAAATATGGATGGATATATCCCAGTTTAATGATACTTTGAAGCTTTACTGTTAATATAGTTATTAGGAAATCCTTGAAATTTTTTAATAACAATTAAGAAGTGTGCAAAGTTTACAATGATAGATAAACTTCTTAAAAAAGATCTGTTAGTTTGCATGCAAATGTGCAGTAATTAAAAAAAAGTCTACATGTATACAAAAATAAGGAGATGTGGTATGATTGCCAATGAGACAACTATCAACCTGAGTTCAAATGAAGTGGCTGTAAGCAATTATAGGCCACTGTATGTTCTTATTCAATCATTAAGAATATTGTAGAAACAAAAAGTTTTCATTGTAAGAGTATGTTTAAACATGTTAAATGACGATTTTGTTTTTACAGTCAGAAGAAAGAGTCAAGGACATATTTTTATGCCAGTTTTGCTGCATACTTCTTGGGACTAGTAATGACCATATTTGTAATGCATTTCTTCAAACACGCACAGGTAATGTTTATTTGATTGATTAATGTGAATGTTTAAATATCACTAAGAGTCATCCAGTGCATTAATTAGTATTATTTATTGTATTGATTGGTTTTGATATTTCTCTAAATCTTTGGCACTTGAACCCTTTATGGACCCATTGTTTAAAAAATTTAATCAATGTGTGGTTACCAATGATCTCAGTAGATGATTGTCTGAGTGAAAAGGTCAAAACCTTTATCAGCTCACTGGAGGAAACGAGATGTGCTAACAGGTGTTAGAGAAATTAACAACTTTATGGACTGTGGAAGGCACTCGTAAGGGATTTTCGTTTATCAAAAATGAAAATTAATTGATAATCATTAGAGAAACAGATTCTTACAAAGAATCTATATACCATATATATATATATATTGGGTGACAAAGAAATTCATACAAAATTTTGATAAATTATAAAGATTTATGAATATAGCATTGATGAATAAATAAGGTACATAGTTGTTAGATTTTCAGGGTATCCATTTATGTTTCAATGCTGAAAAATTAAAAAACTTTCTATTCAGAACATTGTCTCTTTTTAAACTTATACACAATGCTTATTACCACAAAACATAAATCAAGTTCAAATTTGGTGGCATCACTTTACTGTTATCAAGTTATGCCCCTTTATAACGTTGTATGCAAGCAGGGGCATCATCTGTGTCCCATGGACACATTCTCCTTTTTTTTTTTTTAATATGAATAAGCAAAGTTATGCTATTTGTAGGAAAATATAAGACAGGGTATTAAAAGAAATTATGTCTTGGAGAATAGTTTCAAGAATTATTTCATATGATTTTTGTCAAAACTTCTAGATGTAGGCCAAGTTTGTTCTTATATGCTCCATATGATCTTATTAAACCTTGAAGAATGTTTGAATGCTTTTACAAATGTATGAAAATTAAGGAAAAAAAGCTGTGACCTTTGTTAGCTTTTAGATAAATATTGTATTTTTTCTGCTTGTTTTTATAAATCAATATCTTTATTTTGCAGCCTGCCTTGTTATATTTAGTACCAGCTTGTCTAGGAATCCCACTGGCTCTTGCTTTGCTGAAGGGAGAGATTAAGGCCATGTTCAAGTAAGTTTTAGGTCAAAATGATTAACATAACTAATGGAGGTACTTAAATCCCTGCTTACACCTTATATTAAAACCAAAAAGTAAGTGAAGTTGCAATTAAAAAGTGTACTGGACAGAGTCCAAATTTTGTAATTTCTGTATAAACATATCATAGAATGTAGGAAATGCTGTCACATGATATCATCTGGATAAGGTCAATATTTTTTACATTCAGTGTTATATAGCACATTTCAATGAAGTGGACAAATTTAAGTACTGGTAAAAAAAAATTAACAAGTTCCTTCTTGTCTATCATACTTCGGCAGCTATATTTACAGTTTGAGTATTATAATTTTTTTGCCTAATACAAACACGTGATTCTTATTCCATTAACACATCACATGCTATTGAAATTTTCACCAGATACAGCATTTGTCTGTCGTCTTTAACCTCGTTTTTGTGGTTCAGTGACTAGTCAAGTTTTAGAACTACAGTAAATTTCAAATGTTCTATGAGTAGTAGGTCTGCAGAAAAATTGAAAGATGTAATTGTCCATGTAGAACATGCTCATTTAATAGAAATCACCTGAACATGACCTCTTTTCATGTGAATATGAATGAAACGAAATATGTGGTATACAACAAAAATAATAAAAAGATCAACTTTGATTTTTCATGCTTAGGTCAGTTTCATAGTTATTTTGAATAGTATATCTCTAGAACTATTAGAAGTCAGTTCTGTAACACCCAATTTATATACATTGTAGTTATGAGGATCACTCAGAAGAAAAGAAAGAAGATGAAAATAAAGACAAAGAGAAAGAAGAAAAAAAGAAGGAGAAATAGAAATAGAACTTTAATTAGATCTGTGAAGCATTTTACATGTACATGACGTTTTTGTTAGGGGGTGTTGTAATACATTTGATAAGTTTTTTTGGCAATTTTATTTTTATTTCCTGTTTTTATCATTAAAGACTGGAATATCAATAACTATTAATCAGTTTTCATCTGTCTCCACAAAGTACTGTACTCTTGATTTGGATATAGCTCTGTGCAAACAGAAAGGCTGTTCCACCAAAATATGTGTAGGTAAAGCCATAATAAAAAGAATTGTATATTTCCATCCCCCTCTCATATTTTTTCAGAGCCAAATTGATATAATTTTGATTCAAGATGAATTGTATTTTCATTTCCAAAACCATCATTAGTTCTATTCATTCTTTTTCAGGTTTTTACGTTCACAAACATTGTTGATGGACTAAGTGAAAACTATAGGGCTTTATAATTCTAAACCATTGAAGGCATTCAAATATTTATACTATCTGTTTAGGTTCTGCCAGTTGGATATCTTGAACTGGATTTTATAACCACATAATATGAAGCTAAACAACTGTGTGCTGTTATCTTATCTCCATTTTAGAAGAGTGTCAATTAAATATAGTGTTTTTATCCATTTATAAGATTTTATAATTATTATTCATCCCTAACTGTATTAAGCAAAACCTTTTCGGAATTTTGTGTCCGGAATGCACTTCAACTTCCTACTTTATTTGGCCTGTTTAACATTTTTACGTCCCAAAATTGGTTTCCGTTCTCTAACTTAAGTTTGCCTCAACCAAATGTTATGAAACTTATACACAATGCTTATTACCACAAAACACAGATCAAGTTTGAATTTATGTGGCGTCACTTTAACCGTTCTAGAGTTATGCCCCTTTATAAATGGATAAATTGCACAATTTTTAGTTTCCATTCTCTAACTTTAGTTTGCCTCAACCAAATAGTATGAAACTTATACACAATGCTTATTACCACAAAACACAGATCAAGTTTGAATTTTGGTGGCATCACTTTAACCATTCTAGAGTTATGCCTCTTTATAAATGGTAAAATTGCAAAATTTTTAGTTTCCATTCTCTTACTTAAGTTTGCCTCAACCAAATGTTATGAAATTTATACACAATGCTTATTACCACAAAACACAGATCAATTTGAATTTTGGTGGCGTCACTTTAACAGTTCTAGAGTTATGCCCCTTTATAAATGGATAAATTGCAAAATTTTTAGTTTCCATTCTCTAACTTAAGTTTGCCTCAACCAAATGTTATGAAACTTATACACAATGCTTATTACCACAAAACACAGATCAAGTTTGAATTTTGGTGGCGTCACTTTAACTGTTCTAAAGTTATGCCCCTTTATAAATGGAAAAATTGCTAAATTTTTAGTTTCTGTTCTCTAACTTAAGTTTGCCTCAACCAAATGTTATGAAACTTATACACAATGCTTTTTATAAATGGAAAAATTGCAAAATGTTTAGTTTCTGTTCTCTAACTTAAGTTTGCTTCAACCAAATGTTATGAAACTTATACACAATGCTTATTACCACAAAACACAGATCAAGTTTGAATTTTGGTGTCGTCACTTTAACCGTTCTAGAGTTATGCCCCTTTTTAAATGGAAAAATTGCAAAATTTTTATTTTCTTCTAAATATCAAGTAATTTTTATAATTGGAGTTATCTTCCTTTGTCCATGATTATAGTTGAATCAACTACAATCAATGCCTTATACAATGCAATGTTTAATTTTGACTTCCACTGATAAAACACAGATCAAGTTGAATTTGGGTAGTGTCACTTTAACCATTATTGAGTTATGCCCCTTTATAAATCGAAAGATTGCAAAATTTTTAGTTTCCATTCTGTAACTTAAGTTTTCCCCAACCAAACATTATGAAACCTATACACAATATTCATTACCACAAAAAACTAAGATCAAGTATAATTTTTTTGTTTCCGTTTTCTAACTTTAGTTTGTTTCAACCAAATGTTATGAAACTTATACACAATGCTTATTACTACATAATACAGATTAAGTACTAAATTTGTTGGCAACACTTTTACCATTCTTGAGTTATGTCCCTTTATAAACATAAAAATTGCTGAATTTTTCGTTTCCGTTCTGTAACTTTAAAACTTATACACAACCGTTCTAGAGTTATGTGTGTTAACAAATAGAAAAATTGCCGAATTTTTAGTTTCTGTTTTCTACTTAAGTTAGCCTCAACCAAATGTTTTGAGACTTACACACAATGCTTATTACCACAAAACTCAGATAAAGTTCAAATTTGGGTAGCGTCACTTTTACCATTCTTCAGTTATGTCCCTTTATAACTATATGATATGCAAGCAGGGGCATCATCTGTGTCCACATGTGGACACTATCCACATTTATTTATTCCAGCATCACTTAAAAGTTTTTTGTAGATGAAATGCATGTCCAGCGTGCCAAATTTTAATCCTGGTATCTATGATGAGTTTTTTTATTAGACATGATTTACACACCAATGAATGGAGCTCTTGTTTAGTTTTAATATGTATGATTATTCAGTACTGTTGCACATGGTCAGACTATGTGTAGTTATGACCTTATCAATACATGTATAAATGCTAATGATTTGATATTAGAAGGAATGGAATAATGTATAAAGGGAGAAATTATCTAGGTGAAAATATTTTTCCATGGTTTGTTGATTAGTACCAGAATTTTAGGTAGATATCATGTTCACAGTCACTATATATTTCAATTGAATTTAATATAAATAATAATTCTAAGGTGTCAGTCTGACGATGAACACTTATCTGACATAATTGTCATGGTTCATAAATCAATGTTGAGTTATATTAGTTGTTGATCTCTTCAGCTTCTATATATGGTCTTGGTCTGTATAATCATTGTCAGATGTATGACAGGGTTCATCTGATCTTGATCTCATTTTAACTGTTCAGTGAGCAATGTTTAGTTTTTGTCTTGACTTGACTGAGTCAAAAAGTGAGATTTTAATGCTGTTTCCATCGTCGGCGGCGTCAACAATGTATTCGTTTGTGATTAGGTCAGTTTATGGGGAACCACTAGTGGTAGGTCAATGATATTTGGTATGCAGTTGTATTAACATTGGCACATTTCATTTCCATGGAGATTTTTTGGCCCCATCCCTCAGTAGTCATGGTCTATTGACTTTGAAACTTTTGCTTTATAGTTTACATGTATTAGTTTGTGATTAGGTCAGTTTAAGGGGAACCACTAGTGGCAGGCCAATGATATTTGATATGCAGTTGTATTAACATTGGCACATCTCATTTCCATGGAGATTGCTTGGCCCTGTACCTTCAGTCATGGTTCATTGACTTTGAATACTTTGCATAACTTACATGTTAAAGTATTGCTACTTTAATTTCAACATTTGCATTTTACTGTCAAAATAACAAAAAGGGGAGACATATCTGTGTTAACAGTTTATTGTTCTTAAAATTTGAGATATTTAAAAATATATTAATAAATCAAAAACTAAAAACAAAGTCAACTATATTTGAATTCAAGTCATATGACTCGAATTTCTTGTAATTATAATGTTATCGACATTATTGAATCAACGCATGCATATATACCATACCGTACGCTTGTTTTATAGTAAAACTTAGCCATTCAAGTATATAAAAAATATTCAACTTTTTTTTTATTTAAAGTTTCATATGACTTTAATGATAACAGGAAGTGCAATGTCTTCAAATTATTGAAGAAAAACAGAATCTAATCAAACTGCTACACAGGCGATGTATCTTCCCTTGAACAACTACAGCAAGGCACCAGTGTGAGTAGTGCATGTAAAAGATTGATTGATGCTGTTCGGTTAACATGCAGTGGCAAATAATCATAGCGTGTTCAGGACAATTAGCATGTGAAAGAAGGAATCATTTATTTTTTTTTTAGCTCACCTGGCCCAAAGGGCCAAGTGAGCTTTTCTCATCACTTGGCGTCCGTCGTCCGTCATCGTTAGTTTTTTACAAAAATCTTCTCCTCTGAAACCACTGGGCCAAGTTTAACCAAACTTGGCCACAATCATCATTAGGGTATCTAGTTTAAAAAATGTGTCCGATGACCCCGCCAACCAACCAAGATGGCCGACATGGCTAAAAATAGAACATAGGGGTAAAATGTAGATTTTGGCTTATATCTCTGAAACAAAAGCATTTAGAGTAAATCTGACATAGGTAAAACTGATTATCAGGTCAAGATCTATCTGCCCTGAAATTTTCAGACAAATCTGACAACCTGTTGTTGGGTTGCTGCCCCTGAATTGGTAATTTTAAGGAAATTTTGCAGTTTTTATACGACCGCAAAAAAATTTTGTGGTCGTATATTGGTATGACGTTGGCGTCGTCGTCGTAAGGCGTCGTCGTCTGAAGACACATAGGTTTTCGCACTCTAACTTTAGTTTAAGTGAATGGATCTTTTTGAAATTTGACCATAAGGTTAAATACCACAAAAGGAAGGGTGGGATTGATTTTGGGGGTTATGGTACCAACAGTTAAGGAATTAGGGGCCAAAAAGGGCCCAAAAATAAGAATTTTCTAGTTTCCAGACAATAACTGTGGAACAGTGTATGGATCTCTCTGAAATTATACTACAAGTTTCCATACCACAAAGGGATGGTTAGGATTTGCCTTGGGGGGTTATGGCTCAAACCGTTTAGGAATTAGGGGCAAAAAAGGGGGGAAAACAAGGTTGTCCTGGTTAATGGACAAATACTTTAGTTCAAAACATAATTTAAAGCAGTGTAAGGGAGATAAATCAAATACATCATTAAAATTATCTCCCTTACACTGCTTTTAAATTATGTATAAAGTAATGGTTAATGAACAATAAAGATAATTTAAAACAGTGTAAGGGAGGTAATCCAAATACAACGTTTTGGTTACTTCCCTTACACTGCTTTTAAGTTATGTGTAAAGAAATGCTTATTTATAAAGGAAGACCAGTAAAAATATCTGCAAATGTTGCATCTTTTTTTTTTTACAAAAAAATCCATATGAAGGTCCAAAGGGTCCAAAATTAAACTTTGTTTGATTTTAGCAAAAATTGAATATATGAGGTTCTTTGATATGCTGAATCTAAACATGTATTTAGATTTTTGATTTTTGGCCCAGTTTTCAAGTTGGTCCAAATTGGGGTCCAAAATTAAACTTTGTTTGATTTCAACAAAAATTGAATATATGGGGTTCTTTGATATGCTGAATCTAACCATGTATTTAGATTTTTTATTTGTGGACCCCGTTATCAAA